AAGAGTGAGAGAGAGAGAGAGAGAGAGAGAGAGAGAGAGAGAGAGAGAGAGAGAGAGAGAGAGAGTTTTTGTAATATTTTCACAGCAAAAAGTTAGGGTTTTTAGTTTGGATAGAAGATCATCAAAGAGATTTGAGATTGTAACTCCATTAATTTCTACCTATCTATTTATTTATAATATGCAGTTTTATCAATCTATTTTTGTTATGAATTGCTTAGCTATGTCTGAGTAGTTTATTTGTCAGATCTACAGTTTAAATAGGTTAGAGGGATTAGCCCCAACTATCGGATTGCTAGTTATGATACTTATTAATAGGATGTTCTAATTGCTTCATGGTTCTAGAGTAGCAAACTAGAAGCATTGAATCCCAGATTATTTAGGTTGGATTAGAGATATTTAAACAATTTTGATAATCCTGAACACATCCCTATTAAACTAATATTTGTTAGAAATATAATGATAGTTTGATTTAGAAGTCTTTAGTGAGTTTATGTTAACTCGTGTTTATTGCTTGACCGGACTCATCGATCGATCTTCTGAACAAAAATCGATCGATGATAAGTTTAGTGTATCGCTCCATGTTTTTATCGAATAATTGATCGACACTGTCAAGTGCGACCAGCCGGTCATTAGACTTATTTATTTGAACAATAGTTTAAATAATTTGTTAATCAAGATAATTAATGCTTTATAGTATCTCGCAAGCAACTGAATATCATCATATAGGATTATAATCCCAATACCTGAATAAAAACCCTAAGTCTAGAATCTTTTCAATTTTAGTTGCAATAGTCTTTGTTTCCATTCTCGATTAAGTAATTGTCTTGGTTGATTGGAATACTTTCTGTTTACTTATTTATTGTTTCTGCTATTTATATATTCACCTATATTTATACTTGACTAGATTTATTAGGTTCCCTAGCTCTTTGTGGATTTGATCCCTAAGTACTACAGCTGAACCTCTTATTTGAGAGAGTAATTCACTTCTTAGGGTAATTTGAGTGATATCAAATTTGGCACCGCTGCCGGAGAGCTTTGACAGCCTTTAGATTTAGTTTTTCGATTCTAGGTTTGTCTTTTTATTTTTCTTTTTCTATCATCTTCTGACAAAATCTTTTCTTGATTTCTTTTCAGGTGCATGCACAGAATAACCAGAATCAACAAGGAAAAACAGCTCTTATTCTCAGAATATCTTGCAAGTTTGGAACGCTCGATCCACAAAGACCAACGTTCCGCATTGATCAACGCTACCTTACCTTCGTCGACCGATTCTTGTCAAACCTCAACCGACCTCGCTTCATCATTGATCGACACTGAACACTCGTCGTCAAACGATTCTTATAACTTGACATCGACCGACGCCGATCAACGTACATCGATCGATTCTCAGCCGCGAGAAATGGTTGCACCTTTGATTCGAACTACACACGCGAATGGAAACATGTATGACCAGGAGGGTCATTTGCGTAATGCAACATGTGAGAAACTGAATACCAAGGGTAATGTTATCCTTGAACCTTATACTGAGGAAGATACTCGACCTAAGACCTTGGCAGATTACAATCGTCCAGATCAGTACTACGCCAATAGGTCAGCTATTCGTCTCCCTGGCGTCTAGAGGGAAAATTTCAAGTTGAAACCCAGGTACTACACGCTTGTGGCACATGTACCCTACTGTGGGTTGCCACATGAGCATCCTATGGACCATCTAGAGAGGTTCGAGGATCTCATTGCTGCTATCAGAGTTAAAGGAGTCCTTGAGGACTACTTACTGTGTAAGCTCTTCAAGTTCTCACTTGCTGGAGATGCTGCACATTGGCTCAAGCAGTTACCACCAGAATCTCTTACATCTTGGGTTGACATCAAGAATGCGTTCCTGCGCAATTTATTTGATGAGGGACGAGCAGAAGAACTAAGGAGTAGAATTGCTACTTTCACACAGAAGCCTGGAGAATATTTTAAGGATTTTTGGCTCAGATTTAAGTTCTTCCAGCGCGACTCTCCACACCATGGATTTAATGAAGTACAGCTTCTTAGTACTTTCTTTAGAGGATTCGCTTTGAAGTATCAGATGGCTCTAGATACAGCTAGCGATGGAAGCTTTAACACTAGGAATTTGGAGGAAGCTGTGAGGCTTATCGAGAACTTAGCAAACAGAAGCAGTATCAAGAACACTGATTCTGAAAGGAGGAAATCTGTAGCATTCCTTGGGAAAGAACAGCTAGATGAAGTAAAAGCTCAGCTGGAAAATGTCAATCAACTACTTATAAAGCAGGTTTACGCAGCAGAAGGTGTAGATGATATGGATTCAGAGTAAGCAGATGTGAACTACATTGGAAGAACTGGATTTCAGAGGTCTGGGAACCAGTTTGGAAACAGAAACTTCAGTGGTAATGGTCAGAGAAGTAACTTCAACCAAAATCCACAGTTTCAGAAACCCTACAGCAACTACAACAACAACAAGGGGTATGGGAATTATTTCTACAAGAATCCACCACCACAGACTTAGGATAGCAAGATCGAAGCTATGCTTGATCAGGTTCTTGAAGGACAACAAAAGCTGACAGTAGAGTTCAATGGGAAGATAGATACTGTCTACAAAGAGCTGGACACCAAAATTAGAGCTTTGAGCACTCAGGTCAGGAAGTTTGAGACTCAGGTAATTCAGACTGAAGAAGCTGTCAGGAGGCAAGAAGGGGATGAATCTATGAGACAGCACGTCAATGCCATACTGTTTGATGATTTCTGGCAAGAAATTTGCCATATAAAGATGGGAGAAGACGATATTAAGGAGGAAGTTTATCACGATCTAGAAGTTTCATTTCTGAATCGATCGATGGATTCAAATCCATATCGA